ATCCAAAATGGCCAATATCAGTCCGTTTCAGCTCACTGATGCCTAGGATATCAATCTTTATGTGTTCCGTTTCGTTTTTGACACCTTCCAGTTTTCCCAGACTCAGGCTTTGTATGCTTCACGTTCCCATTATTAATGAACCAGCCGTGTGGTCTTTCCAGTTTCAGTTGCTTTAGCCTCCATTGGTTTTGGGGTGTTTCCCCGTGGTGGACAAAAGGGTACCGCTCAGACCCTTCCATGTCCCTTCTGTCAAACAAGCCCAGAGGAAGATTTGAAGAAGGAGGAGATTGTTACTATGGCATTTGGGGACTTAGAGGACAGAAGAAGCCAGGAATTCCACACGCTGGGAACTGAGTGGAGTCCAAGGCAATGCAGAGATTGCATCACACACAGGGACAGAAAAGATCGTACTTGTCATAAAAGACAACATACAATCCGAGGCATGGCGGGGATTTGTGGAGCTGTCTCGAGGGGGCAATGGTTAGAAAGAAGTTGTGGCATTAACTGACAGAGCAGCCTTAGGTAGACACGGCGCGCCGAGAAGCCGTCCAGCCCAGCCAGCAATTCTGCACGACCTCGTGGCTTCCCTCCCTTCGAAGAAAGAGCAAGAAAAGGAAAGATGGCGAAAGACAGAGTCTGGGAAAGACAGACAGACAGAGTCTGGGGCTGAGATAGACTGAAATACAGACATTTTGAGACTGAGACAGACAGTCTGGGCTTACGATGGACTGAGACAGCCTGGGTGGAGAAGACAGACAGACAGATATGGAGTTGAAACAGATTGACAGGTAGACAGAGAGCAGGGCAGGTGATGCTGGGGTCTGAGAGGACAGACGGACAGACAGGCAATCAACGTACATCCCCATTCCTAACTTGTCCGTTCTGTTCTGACCCCGGCTGCCCACGTGAGTCTTCTTTCTCTGAATTGAACCACCTGAGCCAGGCTGGAACTCAAACGTCTAAAGGACACCATCCTGCAGACGCCCAAACGGCCCACACAACACCCTCACTTCAGACCCTCTGGCTATCAATGTGGAGTTTCCTCCTACGTCTTCAGGACTCCGGCTGCAAGCTTGGGGGCCCCTCTGGGCACCCTCATTTCTGACCCGTTGGCTACAGACTCAGGGGCTCCCTTCCCCCTCAGGATCCCAGCCATAAGGTCAGGAACGCCCTGCCCCCTCACTTCTTACCTCCTGGCTCCCACTACTCCCTCAGGTTTGATAATTCACTGGAACAACTCACAGAACTAACAGAAAGTGCTATAGTTTAAATTACAATTTTATTGTGAGGAAAAAATGGATACCAATAAAAACACGTGTGTGGAATGAGGCCCAGAGGGTTCCCACAGCAGGGCTTGCACGTGTCAAAAAGGCGCACGCCCCCTGTCACATGCATGGATGTCTCTTACTAACCAGGAAGCTCGCAGAACTGCAGAGTCCACAGCGTTTAAGGGGAGGCTCATCACCTCACACAAACTGCAGCCTCCCTGAGGTGGGTCAGCATCATGAGATGATCGCACGGCTCTGGGAGCTGAGGGTTAGGGTTAGGGTTAAGCCTGTTAGGGTTAGGGTTAGGCTTAGGGTTAGGCCTGTTAGGGTTAGGCTTAGGCTTAGGCTTAGGCTTAGGGTTAGGCCTGTTAGGCTTAGGGTTAGGCCTGTTAGGGTTAGGGTTAGGCCTCTTAGGATTAGGCCTGTCTGAAGTAATGGGTTAGGGTTAGGGTTAGGGTTAAGGTTAGGCCTGTCTGAGGTAATGGTCACAAGGTTAGGGTTAGGGTTAGTGTTAGAGTTAGGGTTACGGTTAGGGTTATGGTTTGGGTTAGGCCTGTCTGAGGTAATGGGTTAGGGTTAGGTTAGGGTTAGGGTTAGGGTTAGGGTTAGGCCTGTCTGAGGTAATGGTCACAAGGTAAGCCTCTGTGGCTTGGCCAGTCCCCCACCCAGGTCTGCAGTCCTTATTGAAATTCCAATGTTCTAGGAATTACCTAGGAGCTCTAGTGGCATAGTGCCTAAGGCACTTGACTGCTAACCAGAAGGCTGGCGATTCAAACCCACCAGCCACTCCTCGGAAGGAAGGTTGGGCAATCTACTTCCGTAGTGATACTGCCTCAGAAACCCAA